TAACAGACAACATATTCAGATTATACGCAAGATAATGGGCTTAACAAGAAGTGGCGGGTAAGGCGATATGCACGTAACTGGTCCACCGATCTGCCGTTATCTAGCTTGGGTTTTTTTTGCAAAATTTGTGGGAATTTTCCATCAACTGCAAGATAAGGTCTCTAGCAAATGGGTTTTCTAGAGATATGATGTACAAAGCAGAGAGATTCTATTAGTAGATCAGATTAGCAGCCGTTTGGGAGGTTACGTTTTTAAGTTGAACGGGGAATTAAGTGGGGGGAGATAACCGAAGAGCATTACGCGTTGGGTCGGGGAAGATATAAGTGCAACCAGATCGAAACAAAGTCTCGGAGTGGTTCGCGATCGTTGAAAAATATAATCGACCGTCCATTCGGTGGTTTGAGGCAGAAGCAGAAGAAAGGTCGTTACCTACAAAATCCATATGAAAAGTTCATACCAATAGATAAATAAGAAGCATATTAGGAACAAAACGATAATGCTGCGATATACCAGAACATAAACAGATCAAAGACTCTGTACTCTCCATTGGGCTTGAAAATTAATTTCAAAGTTAAAAAGCACAGCGGAGGGTTTTCAATCCGGTATTGGTTTTTTTTTTTGAGTTACGGCGCAAACAGCATATATCCACCAAAAAAGTTTACTATTACTCAATAAATTCCAATAAAACCCACTGAATTGGGTATTTTTTTAAACAACTTTGGTTTTTAAACAACCCGACACAAACATCGTCCCTTTTTTAAATACTAAAACTAGAGATTTTTGTTAAGTTGTATCAGTCGTATTACAAAATACGGGATCAAGTAATTATTAGTTTTATTTTCCCCTCCAATTGATTGCAGCAGCAGAAATACCCTTTTTGCACATTTTTTTTAATTAAAGCATTCCTACAAACTGGCACAGGGATGCGCATAACAAATATATTGACGAAAAATAAGTTACATAATACTCAAATTATGACTGGAGATGTAGAACGTCAATGGCGAGGTTATTTTTCAGCCTGCAATTATGCATGGTTACATATTTTATAGTTGGAGGAAAGGGAAACGTACCATCATGGGGTATACAAATGTGGAGATGCTGTCGTGTTCCACTGAATTACGTGCGACGCACGTGTAGACACCCATGTCGTCCCATTTCATGCCGCGTATGCTCAATTCGCCATTGCCCAAAACGGAAATACGGCCGTCGCTTGCCGGGTTGATGATCCTTTCGGATGGGTCGAGCCAGATGATGTCGGGGATGGGATTGCCTACAGCTTTGCACGGTAGTTCAATGTGGTTTCCTGTAACACCTACAGTTTTAGTCGGTTCGGATAGCGTCGGCCCTTACCGATGTTATCCAAATATATTGTGTTGAAGAGGACGATTCGTGCGGGACTTCGTGAGCCTAAGAGTCCGCCTGCGAGTAGCTTGGTGATGTTTCTTGCGGAGATTCCATGGTGTACGGAAACGTAGAGCTTTGTTTTCGTTGACGCAATTTCGGAACCGGACTCGGCCAGACACGTAAACGTGCCCTCATGGATCGGAAGAACAGAGTTGATTACCAGTCGACTTTTCGCCTTGGCGATTCCGTGCGATGGGACGTCGTTAATTGCGTTGGTCTCGAAACTCTCATTCTGTAAACCAAGGTTGGTAAATTGGGTCGAGAATTGCCTATTAAGAAATACTTCGGTTAATGGTGTGTTGCCTTTGAGCCACTGCATGACGGGAGCCGGTGATCCCATAGCCTCACACTCCAACTCGACACGTGAACCAACCGATTGACTAACACTCTGTGGGGGTGATTGGCTGATGCGAACCCAATCGCGTTGAACTCCACTTGTCATACCCAACCCCACCGGGTTCCCTAAGATGTTATTGTCGAAATCGTCATCCAGACGTCGAGAGTGAGCCCGGTGAACCCATATAGCCACCACTAATATTACTAACAATTTCATCTGGAAGAACCACATACAACAATTGCGTTTCTAAGCAAATGACTTACCATTAACTGAATCTGATGAAACACTGATGCAGATTAGACAATTTCGTGTCTTATATACGCCAATAATTCGCCATCTTGTCGCCACAAGTAATAGTTTTATTGTAGATTAAAATCGGGTACACAGCATTACGTAAATTACGGTTTTAAGGGGTGTAATTATAATCAAGGGATGTATTGTGGAGGCCAACTTAGAAAGGCGCCGATCGTCTCCGTTCTCATTGTTGAACGTTAATAATGTTTTAATTATTCCTTAGATTTCTGAGCTACATCCATTAAGGGGTATTGATGAACATGATTTTTAAAATGTTTCTGAGAGGAGGCTCATTTGTATACGGGGTAAAATTACCCCGTTTACAAAAGATTGCTTTCGTAAGTATATACATTTATTTCTGCAATCCTCCGGAGTAGTTATTATGCCCATAATCATTTTTTTTAGGAATTCTTTAATCCTCGGCTTTGTTAAACGTGGAATAAGTCGTTAAATTATCACCTTTTGGTACCGAGATCAATACTTCTACATTAACCTTTATTAAACAAAATTATTTACCCGAAATCGTATTTTAATACCAAATTTCAATTTTCATATAGAACTTTTAATTAATGTCAATGTGTCAGTGATGACAGGAGTCATTATAGACATTTAGCAATGTGACAGGTGCGGTAGGTAAAATGACAGGCGGAAGGGGAAATAGTCTGTTTTGCCTCTGTCATGGAAACTAAAATTTTCTGATATAAAGTGGGCATGAAAATGAAGGTTTCATGGCGATTTTGGTTGAAATTTAATACAAAACTCGACAGTAAAATGACATTACTTGACTCGGATATTAAAGTACTCGGCCCCAAAGAAACTTACCATTCTATATTTTTTGCCCATATTCTCTGGCTTTTGGGTTATTGCCATTTTTTTTAAAGAAATATTATTTATCCCTAAAATTGACATATGTCAAAAACTATGACACATAGGTACGCAAATCTTAAATTCGTTGGATTCAGAATAAAAAGGGGCATTAAAAAAAATAGAAAATGGTATATGTTTCTATTTATTTATTTTTTTTTTTATTTTACGGAATCGGCGCCATCTTGAAATTGTTTTATTTCAATTCGCAATGATCGATTATGGCCGTGAACCAAATGTCAAGTTTCTATTTCAACTGCAAGTTTAAAAACGTTTACTGAACGGAGCACGTGCATCTCCCTGTATACTGTAGGAGTAGTGGAATTTTTTATCCTTTTCTCCCATAAGTACCTGAGAGGTTGTTACATAAGGTAATGAAATGTTTTCTTCAATTCGATACAGGGGATTGCTTCTTGGGTTCGTACACTTCGGCTATTTAAATAGAAGTACACTTCATTCATCCTCCAATCAAACTCCAAACAAACTGCTGGTGCGGTGGCGCGATGGGCGTTGTCAATAAGATCTATAACCTCACCGGAAATGATTACTGCAGGTAGTCGTGTACTGAATATAATCTTCGCTTCGTAATTTACCGTTAGTTAAAACACAAATTTTTGTTAGACACTACCTCTGACATTTGTTGTTTTCCTCGGAAACTGTTCGCCGAGCGTCGATTCCGTGGCAATTATGAGTGACATGGCGCAATTAATTCCAGCATTGATACATATGGTAGTGTGCCGTTCCCATAATTGGATTTGATTGCCTGAACTGCCGCAATCAACGCCTTATTCACAGTGTTACCGATCTCTCTACACTACATCATTCGAGTTAGCCGGTATTACTCAAGTCAGTGTCAAAGTTATAATTCCAGAATCACCTGCTTTGTCTGAATTTCCTAAGCTTACTAGACCCGGTGGTACTTCTAAAAATACGACAGTCCACTTTTTTAATACGGCCGAAGCCTACGTTTTTGTTTCCTATATATTGACGATATTCTGGTCTTCTCACGTGACGCTTTCGAGCACAAAAATCTTTTCGCATCATTTTCACGCGACTTATTGACTATGGTTTACTAGTCAACGCAATGAAATGCGCACTGGACAAAGTTTTTTTAGCGATAAGCTCAACTCTTATCGATCACCGGAGAAAAACATGAGATAAACTTTCTAAATATTACACAAATAGTTTCAAGATGTTCCTTATCTTATAACACGTAATTTATTTACCATTAAATAAACAAATTATAAAGTGACTAAACAAAAAAATGTCCAAATTTACCTACCTTAAAATGACAATTATGTCATATAAATGTCATCTATAATTGGTAACTTGTGATTCGCACATAAAAATATTTAGAAACCGCTAAGCTTTTCAAACAAAGTTGTTTAATGTTTGCAAGAGTTTCAAAAGCCAAAAGGGAATTTTTAAAAATCCGAAATTTGAAGAATTGGGATGATTCAGAAAAATCACAAAGGTTCTAAGACATTTTGTTACACGCACTTTAAGCATACGGAACAAAATTACCTTCAGTTGAGCGCGGTAAGCTCAGGCAAACTAGAGATGGGTCGGGGTGGTTAAGAGGTTTTGTTCTACGGCCAGTCAACAAAGCAAGAATAAATAAGAAAATCGGATAGGCGCCACATAGTCTTATAAAAAATTTAAAAAAAGTGGGAAAACACTTACTGAGGGGAACAAGCTACACTGAGAGATCCGATAAAGCTAAAACGTGAAGAAAAGAAATGGGTTGAACGTCAACAATAACTGTAGTCAGAGAATAACTGAAATCAGACGATTATTTAATTCAAAAATACAAAATATAACAAATGGTTTCCAAACGTTACAAATAGTAGTTGAAAATATAATTATGAGTTTTACTCAAAATCAAAATTTAAATTCAAAAGTAGGTTACAAACAAGGGATAAACAATACTTATCGAAATATACTTCCAGAGTTAAAATTGTTTATATGGCTAACACTAACAAAACAAAAAGATATGAATCACGATTCGGCTGTATCGAAAGCCTTATGCAGAAACGTTTATCTCCCGGAGTACGACGATATTAAAATATTACCTTTGAACCCTGGTCAAGGTGGTCTGAATTCAGAAGGGCGCTCTCTGCCAATCAATCTGCAACAGATAAAAAACATAATATCAAAAAGAGGAGTGATAGCGCGACATATATGTTAACGTATAAAAATAAACGTAACGTACCTCAAAACTTATGTATAATACACAGGGAACTAAATATCTTGGTATATAACAAAACTAATCTGAAACTTTAACATGAATCTACTCTTGGTAGCGGACAAAGGGTCATGTACGTAAAATCAAAAAGTACCGAAGCAATTTACAAAAGCGTTAATCTACAAACGGTAACCGGTAGGTATTAATACTTTCAGTTACTCATCAGGAACAGTAATTCAAGCCTTGAGGTGTAATTAATGTGTGTGTAGGTTAGTGGAACGATATATCACGCGAGTGCATCCAAAAATTCTGCATATTTAATTTGAAGGCGTCAATGTAGGGTAGTAATATTCAGGTAAATGGAACGAAGTAACAGGAAGAAAGAAGAAATAAACCAGAAAATAAAAGCCTAAAAGGATTAATTAGTGTTAAATCAAATATTGCGCAACGTCAAAGGACTCCCAAAATCGCAATAGCGTCAATGAAGCGTAGAAACGCAAATCACAGAGAAAAGAATTTATTTTATTTTTTAATATCACAGGGCTAGTAAATCTTTTCATTAAAGGTAATGACGAAATTTGTCAAAGCCAATATGACAGCGTGTTCCTCTTTCTTACAAGTCACGATCGAATCTGTTCTTCAGTACAGGCACGCAAGCGTTAAGACGAGTGGGGAACAAATTTAAAATAGTGAATCATCATGACCTCTAGCGGAAGAATAGGAAACTAGGAAATAAACACTCGACCAACTACAGCGAACTTGCACGAGAAATACACAGATGGCGCAACGGTTCCTAAAGGGATTATAAATTGAAAACTGAATTTAGAAAAATTTTACAAATTTAAAAATTAAAAAAATTCGAAAATTTAAAATTATGATATGATTAAATTCATATTTAGAATTAGAAAAATTTACAGAGCTGTAGAAGAATAAAGTTCCTAGAACACAAGAACTTTGCATTTTGCATCAAAAATAATTTCGTATATGACAGCAAAATTGTTATCCATTGTCCTCAACAATGGAAAGGCATCTTTCGGCGTCGCCTCACCTTTTTTCCCAAAAATATTGCAGGCAACGTGATTCCAACTGGTACTACAAATAAAGCGAACCATTGCTGTTTAATAATATGTACAGGGTGAGTTCAAATAAACATCTTCCCGAAAATCCTTCACACTATCGACAGGAGCCTCCCCTGAATTCTATACATATATTCAAATACGTATCAAAGGGCTCCTGGATCCTTCTCGAAAAAATAAATTAATTCTTTTTGCCTATGCGTGCGTTAAACCTGGGGCACGCGGTATGTGGAAGAATGTTTAAGCATACGTCGATATACTTTTGGACATTTACACAAACGTGATCGCAAAAAAATGACAGGCTTCGCTTGAATAAGAGATGAAGTATGTTTGTACGTACGTAATAAATAAAAATTAAGAATGATACATGATGAACCATAATCACTGATAAAAATTATTAAGGGGTCCAGAACGTGACATATTGTGAGGGAACGAGATAGCTGAAACAGCCATAACCGAAAGCAAGTTATTTTTTCTGTCCTGCATCTTTTATATGTACTAGTTCCTCAGGCAAATACTGTTTTTGTGTAATTATGGATAATTCCAGAAGTAAAACCCTGATAATCTGATTGAACGTATCGAATCGCTTACTTGACCAGTCAATTGCATCTCCTTCTCTCCACTAAGTTTTAGGATTTCGAAATTCAGGGGCCAAAATTGTATGAGAAAGTGTTTGATCGAGTGCAATAATTGAGTTATGAGGGATCACTCCCAAGACTTATCGTGGCCATTGATCAAAATGCTGTTTATTCATTTCGTCGTGGTAATTCGCTGAACTTTTCTTTCCAAGGCTCCAGGTCGTTTAATTCCTCCTCAGCAACCATTTATTTCTGGAATGGTTCCTTGATATAGATTTTTTATACTCTCCCTAATCCTGTACCAATTTTTTCCGGAAATGCTAAATGTTGTGACCATTTTTTACATCATAACTTTTACACTGCTTAACAAATTTTCGATATCGCCGATCTGAATCCTCACGTTGCCAGTTGGTAAAAGTGCAATAAAAAGAAAATTACATAAATATTTACAAATGCGAACTTCGCATTTTCTATTGCTCTGCGAGAGGTATAATCTACCATTTACAATTTTAATAAAATCCGCGATTCCGTTTCGCTTCCGTAAAGAGTGGTCCCGGTTATGCGAAATTACGGAATTTTCGGGCAATATTAAATTTAAATCGACAGTGGAACAATATGAACAAAATGGTATCGCCATAAAAAATCGATTTGCCTTTCAGCAGACAACACGATCTCCATTAACGAAACGAACAAATGTCAACGATGCCATTTATAAATTATTTTACGTTTCGACTACTTTTGTAACAGCATCCATTGGTCATAAATATCTGAAGATTTCATTTACATTCGTAATGCCATTGCATTTATAATTTATTGCATTGGCCGATTGCTGCATTGCAGTGGCGTAAAACTAC